GGGGGGGGGGGGGGGCAAGGTGAAGCCTACATCAAACAGGCACATCTTCACCATCTGGTCAAAGACGCGATGGTTGAGGAAGTACTCCATGCAGGGCCCCTGCGTCGAGCCCGGCAAAACCAGTGTATCAAGGGCCACGCGCGAGGAAAAATTGAAAAGAGGCGGCGGTCACAACGACTGAGGCGCGGCGACTGGTGGGACTGGTGGGATGCACGAGATGAACAAACGCACAGTGGCGCCATCGGCTGGCAAGGCGTCTTCTTCGCGTTGCAAGATACCAATGATGGTGCTGAAACAACCGGGAAGATTGGTTGCGTCGACGGGCGTTGCATCATCTAGGGCAGCAGTGCGTTTGCGTTTGCGCGCGAAAGAGCGAGCGTGAATCCAACCTCGAGACGCGAAGTTGAGAGGGCTGAAAAGCAAGACTGTGTGGCTCGGCGGGCAGGCATACCATGCTGTTCACAGTAGACAACATATTCAGCAATATCCTTCCAGGTCTGACGCAGATCATCGAGAGGCGTACGCTGGGTGCTCGTCTAGTTGCCGTTTGCCCGGATCCGCGAAAGCGCCAACGCCACAAGCCGTCACCGCAGCACGGGTCAGCAAAAAGTCATGCGCACGCCAATTTGCACTCAGCGTGCCGCCCTTGGTGAAAGCATGCGGGAGGGAGGGAAAAGGGCGAGGGCTTGATCAAACCTTGAGCTCTTCGATACCGGCCTTGAAGGCCTTGACAAAGCTGCCAAACATTTTGCGCCCGCGCATGGTCTGTGCCCCAAAGCCGGGGCCTTTGGACTCACGCGCGAGCGACTGCGTCGGTGGCAATCCGAGCACGTCACACCCTCTTTATCGCCCCAAGGCCTGGTCAATGTCTCCCCCCTCTCTCTGCACTGGCCACTGATCAAAAGGGCTAAAAACGTTAAAGACAGGCGACACTGCCCAGCGCTGTCACAGAGAGCCGCCCGCTCGCTCGCTCGCTCGCTGTGTGTGTGTGTGTGTGTGTGTGTGTGTGTGTGTGTGTGTGTGTTTTGAACTTCGCAGAAAATCGAGAGAATTGTGTGTGTGAGAGAGAAAAGAGTTGAGGGCTTAAGAGAGAGAGAGTTTGAGAGTTTGAGAGTT